ACCTAGGTTCTCTTGTTTCTGAAACAAATTGTGTAAGTGTAGTGATTAAACACAGATTAACACTAGTAAATAGATATTATGGTTTAAGAAAACATCTACAGTCCCATCACATTAGAGTGAGAACAAAGTGCCTCATATATAAGACCTTGATTAGGAAAGTGATCACATATGGAGCAGAATGCTGGGTACTGACAAAAAAAAGGATGAACAAATTCTCGGAGCTTTTGAATGGAAAGTAATAAGGATTTTTTGGGGGGCCCATTCAACAATTAAATCAGTGGAGGAGGAGGTACAATAAAGAATTGTACCAATTATACGAAGAAGTGGACATTGTCAAATGGATAATATCTGCCAGACTCAGATGGTCAGGACATATCATCAGCATAAAAATGGAGACCCAGTGAAGAAATCGACTTTTGATAAGCTTGGTGAAAGGAAGGTGGGCAGGCCCAAGAGGTGGTGGTGGATAGATGATGTGGAGATGGACCTGAAGCAAATGGGTGTCAGAAACCAGACAGCATTAGCATTGGATAGGAGGAAATGAAAGAATATTGTGGAGGAGGCCAAGGCCTGGGGGGGGGGGGGTTTTCCATCATATAAAAGTTGCCAGTAAAGACAAAAGGTAGAAAAGACAATTGGTATAGATGACACATGAAAACAAAAAATGGGAAGACAATATAAAGGAAAACTTCACAGCCCTCTTTACATCCTACCAAGATGTGGACCAACCTCTTGACAACAGCCACTAGTAGAACGTATGCTTTATGAAATCATGTGGTATAATAAAATATAAAATTCAGTTATTAAATTATTAAGACACATGATGAACTATAAGTGAATTCATCACCACAGGGTTCAATGTGAGAACTAGATGCATCTAACACTGAGACCAAGAAAGGGTGAAGCTGTATTTCCACTGTTCATGTCTTCATGACATGGAGCTTAAGAAGTATGACAGACTTTACCTTTACTAGGAAGCAGTTACATGTCAATTTAACAACAAATTTTTGCTTGCAAAGAATTTTAATGTGAGGAAAATGTTTATGGCCTGTAATTATGAACCAGCCAGTATACAGGTTGAGTCAAAAGTATGTTTACAAACTCTGTGCGCATGTTCCTGGATTAAAAATAAGAAAAAAATGTTATGAACATGTGGTCACAAATGCTTCTTTTTCAAAATAGCCAAAATAAGGTTCAATGTATGCCTTTATTGTAAGTATAAGGACAGGAATGTTTCTTTATAACAGATGCTCAAAGGTTGCCCCTCCATTCTCCACACATGCCCGAGCACGATATACACAAGACTGATGGATTCGTTCATACACACCGGGGTTTCCTCTAAACATCTGGCATGCATTCTGCACACATTCCCATAGGTCGTCTTCATTGTTTATGGGTGTTGCATAACGACGGACTTCAAGTGACCCCACAGATAAAACTCCAATGTAGTCAGGTCCGGTGACCTCAGTGGCCATGTTACTGGACCACCATGCCCAACCCATCGCTGAGGGTACTGTTCATTGTGATAATATCTGACGCGATGGTAGAAGTGTGCTGGGCTCTGTCGTACATAAACCACATTTGTCTTCTTGTATTCAGTCGTACATCTTCAAGGAGACTTGGAAAGTTTCTTCTTAAGAATCGCCGATATGAAGGTCCTCTTAGACACGATGGAAGCATGCATGGACCAATAAGCATGTCACCAACAATTCCTGCCCAAACGCTAATTGATAATCTTTGCAGGAAGCTGGATTCACTTTGACATAAGTCATTCACAGAAACTTATTTTTGGCTATTATTTAGAAAATGAAACATTTGCAACCCCATGTTCACAGGAACATTTTTTCTTATTTTTGATTCTGGAACATGCACACAAAGTTTGTAAACATACTTTTGACTCACCTGTATAAATGAACACAAGACATAACCAATCCACTTACAGATAATGGAGTGGTACTAAAGGCACACAGTATAGTAATGAGAATAATGACAAAATGATTACTAAAAAACCTCACCCCTCTTACAGACTTACCTGTCTCAGGCTTGTACGATGCAAGCCTTGACATCAATTGAAAGCCATGCAAAAAGGGGTTGGGGAACATAAAACAGAGTGAGCACAAAAAAACTTTACACTTTCAAAATGTTATAGAAAACAAATGTGGCATACTCAGAACTTTACACCAGTCACTATAAAAACTGTTTTGTACACACCTCACAGTCTCGATATGTGCTTTGTGAGTCACACAGATGATGTCAAGATGATACTCCAACTTGTCCCAAACATTGTACAGTGTGACCATAGTGATGTAAGCTAAGCCAGTTGTGATTTGGATTTCTTGTACCAGGCATAAATGGATACTTGACTGGGTGGTTCCAAGTGAAATTATATACAAAATGTATGTAGCACAGCTGTTACACTTTCTTCACTAACTGAAGAACACATCAACAGCTCTGTTGTGAGGCAGCCTTTTCCAAAATTAGTGGCATCAAGTAGGGGCACAACAACAAAAATAACAATCACCCAGGTCATTTGAAACAACATTCTTAGAGTTCTGCTATTAAGTGATATGGGCGTGAAGTTCTAAGCATGCCACATTTGTTTTCTGTACCATTTTGAAAGCGTAAAGTTCTTTTGTGGTCGCCATGTATTGCATGATATGAATGCCTCATTTCTACACCAGGGATGTGCAACGATCATATCTACGAAACTGGTCAGTTACACCATAAGAATTACAAATACATTTGTAGCATCATAACCAAGTGTACCAGAGTGGATTATTTTACACGCACACACATTTATTCCTAAACTTCCAACATGCCTGCATGAGAAATGTACATAAGTGGTTAAAAGATGCACTTAGAGGACTTGAATTGACCAATAAAGTTTAGCAAGAATGTGACATGATACATCTAACAGATAATATGTGCTAACTGATTCACTGTTGATAAGCCAGAATAGGAGATTCAGAAATAATACCCCTCCTTCCATGTGTTCAGGAGGGAATTAGACCTCCAGGTTTTTTGGTTAATAAGGCAATGCAACAACTGTATAATTGAGCTCTTGTTGTGTCACAAGTTAGTGTGTGAATGATAGCTGGTGAAGTTTTCAGTGTATTAGGTCAGCAGCATCTATAGTGACAAAATGAAACCCCATCCCATTAAAGTACTATAATTCTTCATTGACAGAGTCCACTGTTGCCCTCCTTCTGTAATACCAATGTTTACCACAGGTTAAATTGTTGCATGTCATTAATGAGCAGAGCAACTGTGTGTGAATTTCATGTTTAAATAGCAGCCCTATTATTAATTGTGCACTACAATGTAGAGATAGTGGGAATCCAAGCCAATGTAGGAAATGGCATACCAAACACACCTAGGTCATAAAGACCACCTGTCAACTAACAATACACTGTACATGACCATTACACAGGTCTTGTTATGGGAGGCAACAAAGATATTGGAGTTGAAGATTTGTAGGCTATCGCCCAACTGTAGCATCTAGAATATGAATGCTAGATGTTTAAGTAAACATTAAAGTATTTCAAACAGTCAGACGTGAATAATGATTATATAAACTGTGAGGTTCATCTGGCAGTGTGCCATTGCAATTGCAAGAGTCCTTATGGCTGCATAAGTGGAAAGTTCAGAAGTTCATATTAATATATACTTGCAGGGAATCTACATACAATAGCCCATTTCTTAAAAACAACATTAAAATGGGCACTGTTTGAATACACATTCATAATCAGCATCCCACAAGATTGAAAATTACTTAACAGCATTACCATGGCTACAGCTGTAATAATTTACACAAAACATGCATACAATCATGAATAGTATCCTATAAGGCTGAAAATTCCTAAACAGCATTAGCATGGAAAATTCAAAAAATGTACAAATAACACACATACCCTTAAACATTATCCTATTACAACATACGACATTTGTCAGGAATTCCACAGAAATATGACGATCAATGTAAATGGACACAGAAATGAGGTGAACACCTTTCTTAAAGTAGACACAGCCCTAGGGAGAGTTCACACCAAAGAAATTATCAATGACAACTCAACTTCAAAACAAGTGTACTTGACCTTGTTATCAAATATAAAACTGTTCTGTTGGCACTAGTTCAATCATAATTAAACTTTGACACAACCTACTGTTCAGTCAAGCAACTAGAATTGCTAACAAAAAACATTCATATTTGCTCGGTTACTTCAGTTAATGGTTGCTTGCTTAAATGACGATCCAGAATTTAATTTACTCAAAAATTCAGCAACTGTGAGTTCCTTCAGCACAAACTATCTTCAACTTTAACATGACTGTGATCAATGTTTCAGTTGAGTTGTCATTGACAGTTGCTTCTATGCAAATACTCACCTCTAGAATTACATCCAGGGCATTTGGATAGACAATGATATATGTATCTTAACCATTTCACTTTTTATCCCATATTAACTCAGTTTTATAATGCTACCCTAAATATATTAACCGCAGTTTGAGTTTTATGGCCACAAAATTTTTAACCAAGTTCTTTCATTTCTATCAATCTGTGTGTCTTTGCACTAGATGAAACCAGATTGATACTACCTCCGGCAGATTTATATTATACTTCTTTGTCATTATTCTTATACTGTACCATTATATGGTTTCTGTGATCATGTCTCACACACACATTATTCTGCAATTATGGATCATTGTGGCAAATGTGACAATCATGATGATGAAATGTATGACATTTCCATTGATGAGACCAGAAGTGATACTTCTATGTCAGAAGCAGAAATTACAGACTTATAATCAGGGAGTATATCTTTTGTAAAATTACGTGTGTATAAAGAACAAAAACGTTGATGAACAATTTCACACGCTTCTACTTGAAGACTTTCATCTCATCTTTAAGCAAAATTACACCACAAAACTACAAAGTGGCTGGGTACATTGAATAACATAACGAACGAATCAAGAGTTACTCTATGCTGATTCAAGATTCATACCTGATCCATCCCCTTTGATAAGAATAAATTCAAAGGCTCCTCTCCTAGGAACTTTTGAATTCAATGTTATTTCAATATTAGGCCACAGAGTTCTTAAAGAATCACTCAACTCCACAGCCTTACGGTGGAAAATCTGTCAAGATTTACTGTAAAGAGAAAATACATATTCATATATTAACCAGTCTAGACATTTATCAGGGACTTGTAATTTATACAATCTAATGTAACTACTCACCAATGCTCTAGAGCAACTCTCAGTTCTCTTCCCTCAAGACCAACGGTGTCTGCATCCTGGTCACCGTCATCATTTTCTGCAGGGTTATTACCCTTACCAACTTCTTTTCCCTTAGATGCATTCTTCTGCTGCCGTACTTTGCGTTTAGGCTTTGTCTCATCGCCTTCTTTTTTAGATTTGGGTTGACTCTGAGCCTTCTTAACATCAGGTTCTCCATCTCCACTTTCTGCTTGTTTGTTAGTAGCCTTTCTTCCTCTTACCGTAGTCGGTTTTTGTACTTTCTCATCAGCCCCTTCTGCCATACTAATACCTCTTTTAGCTGCTCGAATGGCCCCTTTGCGTTGAGGCTCCTGCACCTCACCATCTTTATCCTTTGGCTTTTCCGCATCAGTTTTCTTCGATGACTGTCCTCGCTTAGGTACCATTTTAGTGGCCTCAACTTCATTTTCATCTTTTGAAGGCCCTTTATTTTCATCAACAGGTTCTTCATCTGTCTTGTTCTTTTTGCCTCTTCCTGGCTTCTTATTCGGAGCTTCAATTAGTTCAGCTTGTTCTAAAACAGCTTTAGGTTTCGCGACCCTGCCTTTCTTTTTAGCCGGAAGTTGATCGGTTCCTTGCTCTTCCATGTTAGTCTGGTTTTCTTCAACTTGCGTGGAAGCTTTAGTTGCAGTTCGTTTACCCCTCTTAGCCGGCATTATGAAAGCACAAAACTATCGTTAACTTTTATAACTCAAACACGAGATCACCCACGAGAATGGTACGGATGTGCGCTTCACTCGGGATCATGGGAAATACGCGGGCTGCATGTACTCCTGTAATTGGTCAATTCAAAATCAATATCCATCAAAACAGATGGCCAAGAAACGCTTTCCATTCGTGAAGAACTTATTTCCCCCTCGTTTGAACGAGAGAAGGTTTTGCATTTCATGTGAAAATGACAACTGTAAATCGCTTCAAATGAATAAAAAAAATTGACAGTGGAACCACGGTTCCGGACAATCTGACGTAAATACGTCTTTGTATTTAAATTATATTTAGGCAATAAATACAATGAAAGAAAGTTTATATATTAGCTTGATAAGTTGCAATAATTGCTTCTTGCGATTTCTTTATTCCCTCATACGTTCAGCATTAGTTTTTGGTATTTTTTTGGGAACTTCAGGTTCATTATTTAATACTTCTATTTTTTACGTTTTCTGTACTGTCTCATATATTCTGCATTACGGACTCTTTTTAGTTTCAATGTCATCCATCTTGTTATCTCTACATAGTATGACGCAACACACAAACGCAGCAGTAGCTTGAAGAGCAATGCGCCTCTATCCCTTACCTCAAACTTTGTTCGATTATAAGAGACCACGATGTCCACCGGCAATGATCAATTTAATCAAAACTAAAAAGGAGAGAGTGGAGGGCAGTATCGCAGATTTCTTAATAATTCTGATATAAAATAAGTACTTGTGATATTTTAAAACGTTTTTAACAGCACAATAGTATCTACTCTACGACGCACTTCTTCTACAAACGATTCACAGCTCAGCTCTTTCCGCAATAACGAAAGCAGTGATGAAACACAACAATGCCGAATAAACAGATTATATAATTAGTTTCTTAAAACTGCATGATGGGAAAGTTTATTTAGTCAATGGAATGTGAGGGGAAAACTAAATTGCCCTGAATAAATTGTTATATGGTAGGAAATGAGATTATCATCACCATCATCAAGGTAATGAGTAAGCTATGCAAGAGTAATTGGCTAGAGATGTTTATGACACTTTAATTAATTTCTCACTTTATTCAATTGGATTCCTATCCAACATTTATAAAATATTGTTACATTTAATTTTTAACTAGTTATACTGCAACATATCCCATCTGCAAGTCGTTTAAGCAAATAGACCTAATATGGTTGCATACTGTTTGCAACTGTAATCTTGAGACTTGCAAGGATGCAGGAAGTCCGAAGAGTTAAAGGCTACTGCATAGCAGACGCTATCTTTCCTCCTTCCCCCACTTCCTCGGCACGAATGACAATAGATTACAGCCGCAAACAGTATTCATCGCACAGATTATCGTTAAAGTTTCGACCGAGGAGAATATCACTATAGTGGTCGTGAAAATAAGGGAAGACGTTACTTACCACAGCTCTAATCAAATTCGCTAACATTAAAATTTACTATAATATACGGGAATACCTGTATATACACATCACTGATGCAAAGATATATCTAACTGGTCCGTAGTTAAGTACGACGGTACTAAGGTATGTTACACTCGTCTCCAGTGCGCCACAGACAAGGAAAGAAGATCTCTGTCTCACCTAATCTGTCCTTGATTGTCTACACCAAAGAACTCTGAATCATGTACAATGTGCGCTTTACACACTTATTATTATGTATCAGTCATTGCGATTATGGCTGACATCCCACGTTAAGGTATGTGACGTCATAATTTAACAGTTTTAATTACTTCCATCATTTGAACGTTATTAATATTAAAATACACATCGTCCTATAACCAAATTTTCTGCGAGAGAAATTTTCTCTGGCGTACCTTATATAGTCCCAGTTGGCTGGAGATTCATTAGATTAGCGAGGTATAGACTCTCACCCGACTGCTGATGGGTGAAATTTATGGATGAACGTAGTAATTGCTTATGCCCGAATGGAATGGTTCTGAATAAAAATACCGTTTTGTACTGTGTGTGTGTGTTTATATATTTATATATATATATATATATATTATATACATACACGCGCATGTTATAATATAGTCTTTGGTCACAAAATTGCCTAACCCAAGTTCTTGAATTTGTTAAAAGCTTACATATATTGTAATTTAACTCCCACATGTTGCACGAATGTACCCTTCCTCTTCTCACGAAGCGGAATGTGAACAAGATGTTTGTATCCATACAGACAATGTTTTTCACATGTAGGTACATAACCTCAAAAGTAGTTGCATATAATACCTCAATCTTATGCCCAGTTGATTTGTCACGCACTTCATTGCGCCAATGAAAGGGAGCACTTTCCAATAATAATAACTTAGACAGTTACACCAAATTTCATAATTACAGGAGCCACTACGTAATGGTACTTTATAATGGAAGAAGTGGATAAGGACTTAGCTCTGACATCATTGGGGTCAGAAGGAAGAAGAGAAATAAAAGAAATCACCTCTGCAGCAACTACCTGCACAACCACTTCAGGGGGAGGCATAGATAGGTTGATGGTTATCAACGTGCAGCAGGAGCAACAAGAAGTACCTGTTACATTACTAACAACTGCAGGAAGCAGCATTAATTCTTCAGAACAGCAGCTTATTACACTAGTACCACAAGTATGCAGCATACTTCTTTTGTTCTATTATCAATTTCCAACATTAGCCAGGGTAGCTTGGTCAGTATAGTGACTGGCTATGGACTGGATGACCAGGGTTCAATTCCAGTTGGGGGCAGAGGATTTTTCTTCAAGCCTCTGTATCCAGACCAGTTCTGGGGCCCACCCAGCCTCCTATCCAGTGGGTACCGTGGTCCTTTTCTGGGGGGTAAGTGTGGCCAGGGCATGATGCTGATCGCTCACCCCTGTCTAGTCCGAGGTCAAAAAAGAGTAGGATCTATACCTCCTCTCCCCCATGCGCCTACATGGTGTATAGTGGGACAGCTTTACATTTTACTTTACACTTACCAATTGCCAAAATCCCTGAGTCACTATATTTTAAAATATATTATGGCTGTTTAGATCCTCAACGTACTGAACACAATGTAATAAATTTAAAATAATCATGATTTTAACTGAATAAACAGTGTGAACTCTTGAAAATTTCCTTCATAACTTTGGTTGCTATATGAGGTAAGAGAGGTAGGTGAGGCAGAAACTATAAATCCTTCACAGCTAGTAAGTAAGCTAGTAAAGCTTGAGATAAATTTATTGTGTAAGTATCTAAAAATTTGAGATGAAATGCAAATAGAGAAACAAATATTGCATTCCTAGAGCCAAGAAATAAAATAATGATTTGTGTTGAATACTAGAATAATAAAATAGTTGCAGAGGGAGTGGAAACTATGATTTCAAGTTCTTACAGTGATAAATATGAAGATGGCTGCCCTTTGCATGTTGCATTATGTAGTCTAGTAGAAGCTTACAGTATATCAGAGGTGCTTATCGCCTCCATCATTGATACAACCTTACCTTGGGGATACAAGCATCAAAATACTTCTGAAGAATCAGTCAACTTTTACCAGATGTGGCATCCCAGAAGACTGCCACCTGGAGGTAAAAGTATACAGATTGAAGGTCAGGAGTTAGTTTGAGAACAAAGTATTGGAAGCTAAATAGAGCAATCTGTATTTATATCACTGATATAAGTGAATGGTATATATTTAAGAGAGGAGGTGCAATTTATTTGAGTGGTAAACAGAGTGATAAAACTGAAACCCTTGAATGTTATGGATTGTTAAACAGTTATAAAGGCAATTGGAAAATTAAATATTTTATAAGGTATTACTAAACTTTGATACCATTATGGCAATGGTTCCCATTCCATATATCTGTTACGAACCATGTTCAAAATGTAAGACTTGAGGTTCTCACAGCGGTGAGTATGAAGATTTCTGTCTTCTGGGTTGTTGCGCTGTGTAGTCTGGTCGATGTTAACCAACGTTTCAGGGGTCAAACTGCCTCCATCATCAGGGCGATGACGGAGGCAGTATGACCTCTGAAACGTTGGTTAACATCGACCATACTACACATTGCAACAACCCAGAAGACGGAAATCTTCATGTTCAAAATGTTTTTGCAAAAATTTCTCCCATATGTGCAACACTATAATCACGCTAGGGCAGTCCAGGATGTTACCCTGATGCTCTTTTGAGTATGAGGGCTCTACCTTGGGACTCTTTTAAAGAAAGTGATGGCAGATATAAACAGCATTATCTTAGGGCAAGGTTGGTTGTGAGCCCCCGAACCTCACTTACAGTATAATGTTTAGAGGTTGCTTCTTTAGAAATAGAAAGATTATGTAGTATAAAGTTAAGAGAGCATACAAAACTCTTCTGATATTAAAATCACCTGAAGTTTGTAATGTGTTTGTGCGTTTGTGGGTCATTATTTCATTCCCTATTTAAAAGTATAAAGCTGCCATTAAGTTGCAACAAGAATAGTCTCATTGTGATTCAGGCTTATTTCTATCAACCTGAACTATGTGCTTGTCACCTCAGAACTTTTATTTTGAAGATGACACCCTGCTTATGTGTCTGTTCATTTCTTCATGGCTCAAGCAGCTAAACCTTCATGTTATGGCTCACAGTTCATTTCCTTCCTGGAAGGGATGAATATTAGCATACCTATGCTCTGAATTATATAATTGGAGCAGACTGTAAGAAGTAATGAAACAGCTTTACTTGATGAACTTGAAGCTTTGTCATTAAACTTGATGCATTGTAAATATAACATTAATTCAGTTATATTTCTCAGTGTGTATATTTAAAGTACAACTGTAACTACTAAACAATGAAACAAATGGCATTACTGAATTCATGCACCTGTATCCTGTTTTTGCAGTCAATGCACTGCTTGACATTGATACAGCCATAATTTTAGTTGTTTTGGCACTTGAGCACTTGTCACAGACAAACACTTCATGTGTCCAAAAAATGTTGTTAACAGTTGCTGTATTGTTGTCTTATTCAGTACTTTCTTTGTCAGCATAGACATTGCTAAATGCTTCATGAACAGCAGAAGATGATATTGGTGTGAAGTAATGTTCAAGAATGATAACACATTTTGCTCATGAATATACCATGTCTCCACTTATATAGCTCCTGCACAGCTGACATGAGCACTGGCCTAGCAACATTGGCATCCCTGACTTGCGTGTCATGGATGAGGATGGACATGGACCTGATTCTGATTTCATTTTAGTACCTTAGTACATGATTGTTGTTTGGTTGCATTTTAAGTGGTGCATCCTGAATTATACATTTATATATGTTAATGTTTCATTTACATCCAGATGTGCTTTGGCTTTCAGTGGCTTGACTGCACTCATCATGGATATTACCATATAATGTACATCTTTAATTCATGTTATACATTTTATAAATAACCCCATAGAGTAGGGTCCATCATGAGAAACTAGTCAAGAAATTCTTCACGTTTTATGGAACATGAATGTTCATTACTGCATTCAGAAGAGCCCACCATTGGTCCATTTTTGGATCCAGATGAATCCAATCCACACACCCAAATTTAGTGTCCCTAAGATCCATTTTGATTTTGACCTCCCACCTATGCTTCGGTCATCTGAGAGGTTTCTTACCTTCAGGATCTCCAACCAAAATGTTGCATCCACTTTTATTGCTCCCATGTGTGCTACATGCCCTGCACATTTCATCCTCTCTCATTTGATCACCCTAATAATATTTGATGAAGAGTACAAACTATGGAACTTCTCATTATGCAGTTTTCTCCAGCTTTCCATCACTTCATCCCTCTTAGGTCTAAATATTTTCCTAAGCACGCAGTTCACAAAAACCCTCAGTTTATGTTGTCCCCTTAATGTGAGATGCTAGGGTACACACCCACCATGCAAACAATGAGTTATACATTTTATGGCTATTTAAATTATTGTGAAGGTACAATGAATTTGAAGGATTTACTATTTGATATATAAATTATTTCCAAGTTGTGTACTGGCACTGAAAAATTATCTTAATATTACCATGTAATCTTCAGAAGTAATTATATTTTATAAATATACAATATTCTGATATCCCTGATGATGGCCACTGAAGGCCAAAGTGTGTTGGGGGTTATTAATGAAAACAACAAATACAGTAAACTTATATTTTGAGGGTTTCATACATATAATAATTGATGATATATGACAGTATGGCATTCAGTTTAAAGATTAACAGAGTCTTTCTAAAAGGATGTTCCAGTTTTAATTGCACACAGTTACCTAACTACGTAGCAGACATCATTATATTTGGTGTCACTGAGTTCAGTAATCTTGGGATAATTTGGTTTGGCAACAGAGTGCAAATGCAGTGTTGGATGTGCTTAGTGAGAATTTTGATAAGAGTTTTGTCTAATTGTTTTCCTAAATGGTTCAGATATTGTAGGATTTGAGGTTTTCACGGAAGTGAGTCTGAAGATTGCTGTCTTCTGGGTTGTTGCGCCATGTAGTCTGGTAGAAGTTTACCAGCATCTCAGAGGTCCTTGCTGCTGTGATGATGGAGGCAGCGAGGATCTCTGAAATGTTGGTAAACTTCTGCTGAACTACATGGTGCTGCAGCCCAGAAGACAGCCATCTTTATCCACACAGATAGCAGCACATGTCCCACCTTTCTTAAATGGACAATGCACAACACCCGACATCATTCTGCAATGGTATACTACAAGACAGCTCAGATAATGTCATATACTTCACAGCTACAGAACATATGTACGTATTGTACATATCATATAACAAAATTTTACAAACACTATAAAAACTTTCTGCTTACAGATACAAATACACCAGGACTCACCAAGTTGTGCTGACAGTTTTAACTGGTTTTAAAGTTAAAAACATATACATCATTTTAATATTTATATTATTATTGTTATTACTCCAGATAAAATCAGGAATACATTAAAGTAACACAATGCTATGCATTCGAACCTGATGATGGCCATATTGTGCTGAAACATTTAGTTCAACAAAAAAAGAAACAAGTGAAAAGTGTGTGTGTGTGTGTATGTATGTAAAAGTGAATTAAAATAATCATCAAAAAATACAGTGATGTTTGCTGTGTAGTTAAGTAGGAATTATATGCATTTAAAACTGGAGCATTGTTGTTAGAAAGTCCCTGTGTTTAAGAAAACGTATCCAAATTTAACTGCCACTGAATTCAGATTTGTTGAAGAAATATTACAATGGATGTCAATGTAGTGTTCGAACTTCGTTTGCATGAAGTATATAAAATTACTCTTGTTTAACTTGGGGGTCTGTGCTGTTCCTGAAGATCCTGCTGTTATGTTGTAACACTGTTTTAATAAGCATAATGGTCTATTCCTAATGTCAGACAGGCCATAGACAGATGTAGCTTCATACTCAAGATGTCTTTATTCCTTAACAAAGAACCTTCAGTACGCAACAAGAAGGCTATGTGAGCTTCATTGTTATTATTGACATTGAAGTGAAGATAGAGTTTTACAACTTTCAACAAAATTACAGCCAACCAGTCCAAAGCCAGGAATCTACACACTTTGGTATAGCAGCTCACAAAATAAATCAGGAATCTTACATGTAAAAAACTTGCTCAAAAAATGTAGTGAAGAAACAAACATACTTCTGATTTCTGAATCCTGTACACATTTCACTGTACAGTGACTGATGTGGAGCTCTTTAACCCTCTACAACAGAATGTAAAATGACTAATCCTGGAAATAAATTTATTTGAAGATTGCTGTCTTCTGGGTTGTGCTGTATAGTCTGGTAGATTTCCACCAACGTTTCAGTGGTCAAACTGCCTCTGTCATCAGGGTGATGAATGTCATCGCGCTAATGACAGCAATCTTCAGACCCACCGCTATGAAAACCTCAAATCCTACATAAATTTGTTTGGTTTGTGAACTTTCTGGGGCTACACAAAATATTGCAGGAAGTATAATGAGAAACATGAACTATTCTTGTCAAACCTCCACATAGACACCAGATGCTGGCATATCAATAGAGCTGCTTGTTTAGCATGGTTAGTTTCTCTTCAGTTACAAATAGTTTGCATTGTAATGAAATATAGTGTACAAGCATTTCAGAGGTCCTTGCTGCCTCCATCATCAAGTCAATGAGACTCATTGCTCTGATAACGGAGACAGCCATCTGCCAGTTCCACAGAAATGTAGAAGTTTTGGGAAAAGATTAAGATGCCTACCTCCCTTTAGTCTATGTGTTGAGGCTAACAATAATTATAAATTAATTATACAATATTAATTGCATAACACTTCTGTTTTTATTATACATTGCAGTTTGGTAATGTGCATGGTTTCAATTAATCCATTGATGTGTTTATAATTTTAAACATATTAAAAGTAATTGTGCAACATCAGTAGGTATTTTTTGTTCTACTCCCAAATATAATTTCACATGCATAGCTCGAATGTCTCATTAGTTATTGCAATCAAACTGACAGAAAACAATAAATGTCATGTGGCTGCCATATCGTTGTTTTGCCTTCTATTAAAATATTTTTTGAAGATCTGTTACCAGATAAACCTTTAGGACTATGTACTAAAATGTGATGGTGTTTCTCCCACCTTAGTACTTCACACGGCTGTTATGTTAATATTATATATAGCAGAACATTGAAATATTCAAAGGGTGGGTGGCCTCTAATGGCATTATGTTCATTCCAAGCTTCATAAAACTGTCAGTTTGTTCCAGAATTATTAAGCAGTGATATGGAGATACACACATGCTTGATACTATAAACCTGAATTCTTCTTATAAAATAAGGAAATTAGGTTAAAAGTAAATACAAGATATTAAAATATCAGATACAAAATTAAATTTAAAGATAAAAAATGTGTCTGTATTTACAAGAATGATATATTATACTGATGATGAAATTACCCAACCCATAGTCATCATTTATATATGAACAGTGAAAGGATAAAATCAATAGCTTTAAATTGATATGAAGTTGTAAGGCAGTTTTATCAGATTTAAAATTGTTTGCAGAATTTAAATGATGGAGTGAGTGACCCTCTCGCGATTCCAGAGCAGCCGCAGACACTTACTGAAGAAGATATGGTATCAAGTTTGCTAGGTTCTGTGGTGGTCAACTCTACTGGTGATGACCCTTTACTTTCACAGCAACGGACAGGAGCTTTACATACAGAAGATGGACAAATCCTGTATGTTACATACACAGTAAATCCTTTATTGGATGAAGTCAGTGCTCCTCTACATTCATCTGCAAGTGAAACTTCTCAGCGCATGGTGTTACATGTAACAGATAGTGGGAGTACTCTTGTGCTGCCAGCTGAGAATGTGGAAGTGGGAGGATTTGACATTGAAAGTGGGCTTGTGCCTCAGATAACTGTTAATGGAGTGTACTCACTTGTAACAAATGACAGTTTATCTGAAGAATCTTTAACTTCTCCTCTAGTCCAGACCTGTGGGATAAAAGATACATTTAAAGAGGATGAGAAGCTGAAGCAAAACCCATTTGTTGAGATTAAAAATCGCAGACGCACTGAACAGGTATGTGGGTTTAATCACTTTCTGTAATCAATGTCAAACTGCAGACATTTTGATGATGGTTATAATGAATGCATATGTACTGCTCAAGAATGGTTCTCAATCATGAAGTTCGTTGTTTGTGCTTTAGATTATAGAAGGATCTTGGAGTCTAAAGGTACAGCAGGTTTTTTTCTAAATAAAAATTGGGTGTGTATTATACTGTACAAAATGTGGCATTTAAAATAACAGTGATCATACTGTAATATTCAGCAACATACTAAAAAGTAATTCTATGTAACATTCTTGTACATCTATCATGGATGGGTCAAGCCATACTGTAACCACAAAGGTTAACTTGTATAGGGTGGGGAAAAGAATAACACATTGAAAAACTTTATTATTACAGTTGTTTGGAACTAAGAAAAAAATTGTGTTAGCTAGGAAATAAAAAATACACTTTGTATGATTGTTAACTGTGACCTTGAGAATGTAAGACAAGGTTCTAGAGTAGCACAGACCAAATTGCATGATTGTTCTCATTGGGAAATTTAAAGACAAGTCAATGAAATTCTATTTCCCTGAGTTATGTATGTAAGTGTATGTGCACAGATGTGAGTGAGCATGTGTGTAGTTTTGGCACAAAAATGTTTTAAGAGCAAATTACACAGAAATAAATGCTTTGGTTCAGTCCCATCCAGGTAAACAGTCATGCCATTTATTGTTTGTAATTATCCTTTGCCTTTGTGAATGCTGAAGTCATTATCAGCTTCTAATTCATAATTCATTGCCATGATTTACTAGTCTTAATTTTTGTAAGAGATTTGTGTAATTGCAGAAACATACAGGGAAACAAACATTGCTAGTATAAAACAAGTTAGAGGAAATGTATGCATAGTGTAACAGTTCTGACACTTCTACCATTGTTTGACCTTTAGCTTTTGTGGATAATGTCAGTGTTATCACAGTTGTCTGTGGTCAGTCACCTTTGCATAGGTGCTTTGTGTGGCACCATTCTGGTAGGGTAACAGTCATTGTGGGAGATTCCCCCACATGCTTAGTTGGCTGGGAATTCCTCATGCATTAACTTGCACATGCAGAAGGGCATGTAAAGTGCACATTATTACTACTAATGTTTTTACCAAATTCGTAATGTGTTGACAAATTTTAGTAAAATTTGTTAGTATCAAACTTCATGAAAATCCATTTGGCAGTTCCTGAATTATATGCAGGTATACAAATAGAGTGACATGGTGAAGCTAATAGGCACTTTTTTATCTTTAATTTGAGCTGAAGGCTTAGTTGCAAGGACATAAAAATATGTGGTTATTTTTTTGTTTCTTTGGTCATTTAATAGTGTTTTATAAACTACATAGATTATATGGTGTCAGATGCTAGACTGTTTATAAATGATGTGGAAGGAAGTGGTCATGATATATTTAAAGCTTTATGCCAGAATTTTCCTGAATGGACTGAGGGAAACCATGAAACACTCAGTCCAAGTAACTGATCTCTGGGTTGGCTTTGAACCCAGCACTTCCCAAATATAGTGCAACATTCAATCATGTTCTTTGTAATAGATGTGTAGACATTAAATTATAGGAACATGTGAGCAGGTGATTGGTAATGAGCTGCATATAGAACAGAAGCTGGAAGTGTTGGATGCAATGCTAACCCCTGCACCAGAGCGACCTCGTAAGAAGAAATCAGACCCTGTCACAGAGGATGGAGAGGGCCATTATATATGTGACCTGTGTGAGACTACATTTCCACGGGCCAACCAATTTTATGGTCACTTGCACTCACACAGTGGCGAGAGAAAATGGGAGTGTGCTACATGCCCTGGCAATGTAATGTATAGTGTGAACTTCACTAATGTGATTTATATTATAGCATTTTGAAGATAGAGAATTTGAAAAATTATGAAGATTGAAAATTTGAACATTCATTTTGAAAATTGTTAATTACAGTACAATTCAAAATTACTTTAATAGTGAATGAGAAGAGACCATTCAGAAGACTTAGACATAGTAATAGAATAATATTAAAATAAATGTGGACTGGATTAATCTGGCTCAGGAAAGGAACCAGTTGTGGGCTTGTGAACATGGTATTGAATCTTCAGGTTCCATAAAAGCGAGACATTTCTTGACTAGTTGAGAATACTGTTAGATTCTCAAGAAGAGCTCTGCCCTGTGAAGTTAGTGAATTGTTAAAAAATCACAGTAAAGTGAGAATTATGGGCAAATAAGGGGATCTAGTTGGAATTTTGTGTTTAACTGTATATCTGAAAATCAGTTCCAGGAGCTATAACTGTACCATTCCAGAATAGTTATGTTATTATGCTGCATGTGTTTGAATTATAGAAAATCAAATATTTTATTTATTTCAATATCCATTAGTTGTTTGCAATGTGGAAAGTGTGATACATTAGTTTTCTGATCATTTTAATAAAAACAGAAAGATAAATACTTAGAGTTCATGATGACTCATTGATAAGTTATTCAGTCTGAACACATTGTATTTCATAGTTTACACACAAAACCAAGTAGTAATATTCAATGAATTAAACTCAATTAGAAAAAGTAAATACTTTTACTAAAAGACATGGTAGGTGATGTATTTTGCTTAATTTTTTTTTTCTTTTAAGGATGTTTTCTCCATTTTATAAAGCATGTACTGCAATTTAATTGGATTGCAGGTGGTGTTTCCAAGTCAGTCACAGCTGCGTCGTCACGAAAAAGAATCCCATCTGAATTTACGGCCGCATGCATGTGGGATATGTTCTGCACGTTTTGATCGGGTCTCACAGCTTAGTTATCATCAGCGTCGCATTCATGCTGGAGAGCGGGGACATGCTTGCCAAATTTGCCATAAGGTGGGAATGGTTTACAATGAAATTAAATTTGGGAAACACATTATCTTCTCTGAACTAGCCTGTTGTGACTCCAGTAAGTTCTTCCTATATTTGTCTGTTCTCTTGGTCTGTATTCTGTATCACTGATTACCTAACTGGGGGTCGCACCACCCACCCCTTAGGGGAGGGGGTTATGAAGTACTTCCAGGAGGGAACATGAGGCCATGAGAAAAATCAATTTAAATTTAAATTCAGCTGGAAAACAATTTTTTTAGCTGCATCTGTTTTGTCAGAATTATCTAATCAGAGGTTCTCACCCTTTTTCACTGGCATACCACTAATTCTAATTTAACAAATTATATGTACCACTAACCAAATGCGTTCAGGGAAAATTTGTTTATGTTCATATTATCTTTTAATTTTCTTACTTAGTTCGCATACCACTCAACATTGGCTCGTGTACCACCGGTGGTACGCGTACCATAAGTTGAGAAAGATAGATCTATATGTTAAAAAATTTGGAACAGATTTAAACACCTTCATGTTCTTAAAAGAAGAGATTAAATTATTTTCAAGAAAGAAGCAATTGAAACATTTAGAGCCAATTTCTTTGTGTTATAGTGCATTGGTATCAGTCCCCATCACTCCAGTACACATGAATTGACCTTGATTTTGTTTGTGTGCCAGAGCATGCTGCTAAGTCTTCTGATTATGTTTATGTCTGCACTTACCAATTTTCATTACATACATGGAATAAATATCCATAGTTATTAAGGAAGATCTATGATACTATATATATATATATATATATATATACTTGACTAAATGAGCCTTGAGTCATTTAGGCAGCTCAAAGGTGAGTTTTTGCTCATGATACCTTTAATTTTGGCAGTGAGCCTATATATATATATATATATATATAAGAATAGGTTATATAATGAAGAGTATATCAAGTTTGGCTTCACCATCACTGAAAAAAGTGGGATTCACCTAACTCCTCTGTCAAGCAGTTCTCAGCAATGAGACCTTGCTGTCTGGAGTGATGGTTGAACACAAACCACAAGAGACTGAAAGACATGCTGAATGATTTTTTGCTACCAAACTTCAGTGTCTGAAATTCATGACACTGCATACTACCGAAACTTTTGATCAGAACATGGCCAAAATTGTGGAACCTTGTTAATTAGCTGTCAGTACTCATTTCCAAGGCAATGAAAACTGCTGTAAGTATTGTGCCTGGTATCAAGAGCTACAAAACAGAATTTCAGCCTGTGATATCACAGTGAAGCATCACATTGATGAACTTACTCAGAGAACACATAAAATAAGTTTTGGAAAGAATAAAATCATAATTTTATTTTTTCTTACAATTCAGTGAGGTGATACCACTGATGAAGCTCAGTGCTGTCAGTTACTTGTATATTCTTGATTTGTGAATGATGGAAAAGTGAAAGGTGAAATGTTTTTCTTGAAAGCACTGGAGACCACATTTAAAGACTTCTAATGTTTTGGCCACATGTTCTGCCTTTTTTCAACAAAATTATCTTTCTTGGAAAAGCTAGTCAGCATTTGCACTGATAGTACCCCAACAATGCTTGGCTCCCACTCTGGATCCATCAAATTGGGCGTACAACATCATTCACAGACAAGCCTTGGCTGCCAAGACCCTTCCACATGACTTGTGTAATGTATGATGCTTTCACAGATGAAAGATTTCAGCTTTCACTGGTATTTCTTGTAGATATTTTTGAGGCTATTAGCATCCTCGATTTGATATTACGAAGATGAAATGCAAGCATTATTGCCGACTGCAGTGCCATCAGAATTTTCATGGAGAAAATTCAACTTTGAAAGTGCTGCCTTCAAGCTGGGAACTTTTTGTCTTTCCCTTATTGCATCAAACTTGTGCCTGAGAAGAAAGTTCTTGATCAGCTTTTTTTCCCCCAGTTAAATTGCTTATCTGTTTAACTTGGCCTGTTTTACTAGTTGTGATATCTTTGAGAGAGAGGGAATAGTATTTGTTATTGTGTGCTTAGCCATGCTGTCTATCTGGAAGGCATGCCATCAGTAATGGAATAAAAAGTGATAACCTCAGCCTGCTTCCAGGTCTAGTTTGGTGAAGCTGATAGTTCAGTCTGTTATTAAGACATTGTTCTTAAGATACAAGTTCTTTCACAGTATTTATACAAATTAAAAAACTCATTAAATGAGAGCCTACTCTGTAATGATTCTGTCTTTTTCCATTAGAGATAACTGTATATGTTATAATTTAAAATTTCAGACTGTTTAGTTTTACTTTTCAGTAAGGAAATAAAATTAGTTAACTTGGCAACTAGGAATAACTTACAACTTTGTACAAATCCATTAGTTCACACATATATAAGTGCATACATTTTTATACATAGTCTATGTTAATTTATCTAACAGGCATTCTTCAAGCGATCTGATCTAAAGACACACCTGAACATTCACTTGGGAATCAACAAATGTATCTGCGAGACTTGTGGGAAAAAATTTAATCATGTATCCAATCTGATTCGACACACAAGGATGCACTCAGGTCAGTTTTGTTTGACTTTCTATATCTCAGACTCTCTTTGTTTGTTGTATTCTGTCACTGCTGCTTGTAAAATGATCTTTGCATGATGTGCATTAAGTGCACATGTATAGGGCTAAGCATGTTTGTCTGTCCATTTGTTCATCGACACAATTAAATATAAAAACTGCTGGACAGATTGGGATGAAATGTGGTGTGGACATTATGTCATGGGGGGCTGCCTTAAACTTGTACCTTTTAATGTTCTACAATTGGTGATACTATCATGGTTGGTGAACAGATGTGGGAGATGGGATTAACATGAGTACCACTTATTCTAGTGCCATATAATGATGTATGTTAATAGATTTTTTAAAAACATCAAGCTTGGTATAGGAACTCTTTGTATAATGTAAAACAACAATGTAGTGGCTTCATGAAAGAAAAAGATTTGTCCAGGATTTGATCCCATGACCACCAGCACAGGAGTTCAGTATGCTAACATAGCTAACTCAAGTTATGTTGTACTGTTACTGACTTTCAATACTTTAAAAAGACATCATGGCACATGATTTGTATAGCTAGAAATTAAAGTTGTCTAAGTAAGGTGACTTACATTATCTTGTACAAATACTTTTTAAAATTATAAATTAAATTATTGCCTGTGATCTGTTGCTGTGCTTGTGCAAATGATACTGATGGTAAGGCTTGAGTAGTATGTGTGTGATATAGTTTTGTTTTCAGCTAGGAGCATTCAGAATTCAAAATTTGCAAAGAATGCATGTAGTATGGATTACACCTTTCCAGTCTTGTTGTTTACAGGAATAAAGCCTTATCCTTGCACAGTATGTGGTCGACGGTTCAGTCAACTTAATGCTCTCCATCAACACAAAACATCACATCAGACAAATAAGGATGTTGCCTGCACCATCTGTCGTAAGATGTTCAAATCATACATGGTGATGCGTAAACATGTGCGCCAGTTGCACAGAGACAAATTAGCTGCATCAGGGAAGGATGCCAATTCTGTAAGGACCAAACTAGCATTTTGTTATGAATGTACTTCTCACATCTAAAGTTTGAAAACAGGAGCCTTGCAGAACCTGTTTAGTATGTTAAGCCAGTGCCACATCATTCAGTATAGGCATAGCTTGAAATTATCTGCTATTGTGTTCTTACAACAGAGAATGAAGAAATAACAGTTTAAAGATTTACTGAAAATTGCAATCTGAATTAAAATCACAAATCTCTGTGCATGTCAGTTTTCAGCAGATACTGAAAGTTAAGTGTTACTTCCAGTATCTGTACAATTTCTAGACTCTTGCCTCATGACCCCTCTGAAGGTCTTTCCTTGCCTGCTTTAATTCTTAGCTTATTAATGCAAAGATTTCTTAACTAACATCCAGTTTATTCAATCTCACAACAGACTAGTGATATAATTTTATTCTTGGAAGTTTTTGATATGTAAATATAACCTTTTCTTTGACAACCTGCATCATGCAGTATGCTGATTGTGCTAACCAATGCATAGCTCAGAAGACTATCTGTACAAACCCTGCAATGGCAGTCTCCAAAATATTATATTTGGAATCCAGAAGTTTGGGGAAGGACTTATGATGCCTACTTTCCTTCAAATACTTCACTAAATGTGGTGAGGCTAGTAGGAATTATGAATTAATAATTACATAACTCATTGCTTCATTTATATGCATAATTTCCATAGCACTTTGAGAGATTTGAGGTTCTCATGGCAGTGAAGATGAAGATGGATACATTATCTACCTACAAGTCCACACAGCATCACAACCCAGAAAGACATCATTATCATCTACTAGTACTAATTTACATAATTTAAATTCACCAGATATGACCACAGATTTCTGCATAGCCTCATGTTTATAAATGAAAGTACATAACATTGTGTTTTATATAAAATTATAGTTATATTTATGAATTATCTCCACATAAAGTTTCACAGAACTGAAGTAGATTTAGGCTTACATCAGTTAGCACCATCAAGGAGAGAGATAAGTATGAATTTTTTATAGCTGCCATGTTTTATATTTTGCGAAAGAATAACCTTTACGGAACTTGTATTATATTTTTTGAAGATCTTTATCCACACCAAATTTTAAGACTCTGTATTGTGTGACATAATGTCACTCCCCATTCTCAAAGGTTTGTACATCCACCATGTTAGTATTATTAATGTTAAGAATTAAGAAGTACAAAAGTGTTGTGACCTCTAGTGGTGTGATGTTCATACCAAGTTTTGTGGAGTTTTATCGGTTGACTTGACAATTATGAGAAGGGATCAATAAACATATAAGTATGTCAATATCATAAACATACTTTTCCTTAGAAAATAAAGAAAGTTTCTCAAACATTGCTATGCAGTTTCTATTTAATTTGAAAGTATTGAGATAAATCACATACTATAGCTGCTTTTTAATCATCTTAGGAAAAGGAAGATATGATACATGTTTTCTTGTTGCTGGCTACTACCAGAAGCAACTATATGTTGGATATGGAGCAATAATGTTATTGATACTGACACTTTATTTTACTGTTGCTGTAATCAGTGTTGGTATTTTCTACTTTGTAACTTTTCATATCCACTCACTATACTGAGGCTGTGGAAAGAAGTCTAATGGATTGACTTCTTCCACATTTCACTGTAGCTGCTATATGCTCACTTCAGCATACATCTCTGGCTGCTAGCCATTCTGTTCACTGGCATGCTGATAATGGTAACCTTTGCTTAATGGTAAACATTTTAGGCTGTCTGTGACTTAGACCAGTGCAGCCTGAAGAGAATGCTAAACTAGGTGAAGACTGGGAAGCCTCAAGTGCTGACATCACCTCCAACCATGAGACTTCTTTCTGTGGCTTCAGCTCCTAAGTATGTGTGTGTGTGTGTGTGTGTGTTCTGTGAGATACGTTTTACAATCACCTACAGGCCAAGTTATGTGCATTGAAATGTTGAATTATAGACCATTATAAATAGCAAGATGAACAGCGGATAGAACAATGAGGAGAGTAGTAGTTGAAGACTACATCCTTAAATGTTCACAGAATTGGATGAATGTTTAAGACACTGAGATAAATACTCATTTCTCTGATGATGAAAGTGGCAAAGAACCTCTGAAAAATTGATAAACTTATACCATACTATATGGTGCTACAATGAGCCAGAATAACTCAGTCAGTATAGTGACTAGCTACGGGCAGAGGATTTTTCCTCTAGCCTCTGTGTCCAGACCGGCTCTGGGGCCCACACAGCCTCCTGTCCAATGGGTACTGGGATTCTTTCCCAGGGGTAAAGCACGGCCGGGGTGTGACGCTGACCACTCACCCCATCTGGTGCCAAGGTCAAGAAAGAGTAGGAGCTATACCTCCGCTGCCCCCAAGTGCCTGCATAGGCATGTAGCGGGACACTTTACTTTTTATATGATGCTACATCCAAGAAGACAGCCATCTTTGTACTAACTGCCGTGAGAACCTCAAATCCTACTAAATATGTTGTTTCTTCTTATTGTAGAGTTAAGTCATGAAAAATTTCATATTTAATTTGATGTAATGTTACAGGCATGCATAAAAATATGCTAAAAGACCTTCTTTTACGAGGTGCGATCGGAAAGTTTTCAGACTGCGCCTATAAACACCCGTACACTTATCTCAGGTATTAAATTCATCCATCACCCTCGAAGTAGTTCCCCTGGGAGTGAACACAACGATCCCAGCGCCGCTGCTAAGCCTGGAAGCATCCCTGGAAATCTTTCTTTGTCAGCCTGTCAAGCACCATCTGCGATTCTGCCTGAATCTCTTCTATCGTCTCAAATCTCCTTCCCTTTAGCTGAATTTTCATCTTTGGGAAGAGGAAACCTTAGAAAGGAAGTTGGGGTCGGTTCTTGCAAGATCTTGGAGCTCCTGACAAACGAGAAGTCGATGCTGCTTCTGGTCCTCAGACAGGAGCCTTGGCACAAACTTGGCTGCGATACGTCGCATGTGGAGTTCTTCCTTTAGAATCAGCTGACAGGTCCCATAGCCTATCCCAACAATGTCGCACAAGTCGTTGATGGTACGACGTCGATCTTCGTAACATTTTCGGGCGTTGCGCTCGAAGATGGTCGTCCAGAACGCTCGTCATCATCGACAGAGGTTCGGCCATTTTTAAAACGTGAATGCCACACAAAAGTTTGTGCACGACCCATTGCGGACTCCCCAAATGCTTGCTTTAGCATTTCATAGGTTTCCGTAGCCGTTTTGGCGAGTCTTTGGCAAAATTTGATGCACACGCCATTCCGAAATCGCAGGAGGGTCGGTGTAATGCACTACCAAAACGCCCGTAACTAAGAAACAAATGCTAATTCGATGATGCCGGCTGGCACACTGATTCACTATGAATGTAGGCCGCACCCCCTAGCGGCAGAAGCTCGTACTACATCCGGTTCGCCCTCTATTAACACAGTCTGTAAACTTTCCGATCGCACCTCGTATGTTTTCAGGAATCTGTAAAATTAGTAATATTGCAAGATCATTAAAAGTGAACACCAAAGAAAAAATTAAAATGCAATGTATGTTGATGACAATAGGCATAAACATTATTTGCTAATTCAGATTATTATTTTATAGAATGGGGATGTTACTGGTTTTAATTAAATTTCAATCATTTTTTGTATTTGTTTTAATTTATTTCTTGCTTCAGTATTGTTTCTCACTTGACTTTACCACTTTATGCTCATTGTTCTCTGTCATTCTTCATCTGTTTTTCAAGGAAACCATTTACTTCATACTGACATACACTTCATTTTTATCATTGTAATGTCTGTTCTGAATGTCTTATTCCCATTTCTGTGCTCTTTGCTTTCTTTTTTTCTGTCCTTCCAGTGCCACAGAATTAACTTTTATAGTCTATATTAAAGTTAGATCTCCTTTGCCCGTGTTTATGATACTCCGAGTCAGTAAACCACTGTTACATTGGTCCCTAAATTGTGGTTTGTTCAGATTGCAAGATATATTTTTTTACACTAACTACTTTTGCTTTTAGAATGGAAATGATTTATGATCAAGTCAGTGAGTATGAAATGGATGGGACATGTAGCATACATGGGAGAGATGAAAAATGCACACAGACTTTGTATCAGAAAACATGAAGGGGAAGAGAGTACTTGGTAGACAAACACAGAGGGGAGGACAATATTAAGATGGTTCTTATGGGCATAAGAGAATATAGGTGTGGACTGGATTGAATTAATTCAGGTTTGGCTCAAGAGATAGGGTAGTGAACCTTAGGATTTCATAAAATATATGGAACTTTTTGACTAAGCTTCTGAAGAAGTACTGCAACTCTATGGATTTAGGTTAGTCAGTGAAATAATGTGTTGCACTTTGTAAAGCTCTAAGGGCTGGGCCATGTCAAGTGGTTGTCTGGAAGGATAGAAAAAATAATAATTTTAGAGGACAGTATATATGTTGTTGTTTTCAACAAAAGGAATCATGGTAGAAGTAATAAAGTGTGGAAACAATTGCCCTAATGTGTGTGTATGTATGTGTATATATATATATATATATCAGTGTTTTCGCCAGGTACTGAAGATAAAGGATGGTGCACAAAGTAGAAGGTTCTACTGCAAAGTATGTGGGGAGAACTTTGAGTTTTCATCATTGCTTAAACAGCATGAGAAACAGCATGAGAAAGAAAACAGTTTCCACTGTAATTGTTGTGGGCAGGTGAGTGTCAGCTAGTTTATCTCTGTCACTAACTTGATCATACACAAAGAACCAGAATATGTTTGTAATGAGAAATACCATATATCCTTGATTTTAAGATGCACTTTTTTAACATTTCAAAATTTCTGAAATCAGGGAATATTTTTACGTATGATGACATCTTAAAATCAGGGAAATACAGTAGTTAAAAAAATATAGGTGTTTGTAACTAGCTCAGGTATTAGCTTGTTTTGATATTAGCAGTGTTGAACTTTCAGGTCCTGATACTTGTATTAATTTATGCTAGAAAATAAAGTACAGTATAGTATAATTTTAAATGTTGTATAAACTGACTTGCTTTCCTTCCCCTTCCGCTTTAAGCACTAGCTATTAGAAAAAAAGGCCTTCAGCTATGGTTTGACCAGGCTGCGTGAACACATGTTAATAAAATAATGAGTGTCTACTATGTTGATCTTATGTATCATTCTCATGGAATATATGGGCAGGATTATGACACAGTGGAGTTGCTGAAGGGTCACTCTTGTCAGACTCCTGAGGAGAGGTTACAAAAAGAAGCAGAGGATGAAGCAGAGGCAGAGAGAGTTGCCCTAAACACCCAGCTGGAGTCTCTGCTTCAGGAACACCATAGAGATGAAGAAAAGAATACTGCGCATGGAAACAGTGGGATTATGGCTGAGATTATAATCTATGTAACACATGAAGGACAAGATGAACCCACCCAGGTGTGTGTGATGATTCATCACAGAGAAGTAAATAGTATATACTGTTAGATACTTTAGAGAAATGATTACAGATACATCATATGTGCTTCAGCATGAATATAAAATTAATGTTTCTAGTGTTATGTAAGAAGTTGCATTTTAGAAGGTTTAAAGAAAAATTAGTTTTAAATTATCTCACAGCTGCATCAAAACAACATGTGATGAAAAGGCAAACTCTGTTTCTGTGGTACATCAAAATATCAGTTAGGAAATTCTTCTACACTTACTTTAAAATGAGTTCAACTTGATGCAGTGGTTAACTTGAATCTGATAAAAATGTCAATGACTTTTTTGTATAACACCAGCAATATATAAAATTACTGTAATATGACTTTGCAGTGTGTAATAACACTGAAGATGGTGGTAAATTTCAGGCTGTGCTATTTGTATGTGTTTTAGGTAAAACTTTGCTATAAAGTTTCTTAAAGAAAAGAAAACAGAAATTAGCTCTTTGTTATGTTACAGGTCCATATCCAGCCCGTTACTGCACCAATCTTAGGCCATACAGATCAACAAAAATCTTTGGTAGTGGTACCTAGCACAGATGTAGGAGTCCAGAAGACTGAAGCTGACAGTCAGGTGCTGAAATTGTCCTGCCTGAAGTTTATCACAATTTCCTGCACATTTAATTAATAATTGCTACTGAAAGTTTAAACTTGATTTATCCTTCCAAAATAACTGCTCTTACAATATTTATATGTTCATATCTTAATCTCATACATTTTATATTAGCATGACAATACAACAAACATTTAGTTCTTTATAAAGTAAACAATAAAGAATTTAATACACTTTTATCTTTTAGCATGAACAAAGTCATCAAGATGTAGTAATAGTGGGTGACTGTGGAAGCTCCTGTCAAATGGCAACACATCTTGATGGAACACTAGCAGACCCATTACAGTTAAAAGTTTGTAGCACAGGGATAACTGTTGGCAGCAGTGAAGGGAACAAGAGTGACAGGACAGACTGTAGTAACTCATCTCCTCTGTTCCCTCGCAACATGGCCACAGCCCTGGAAAGTGACAGCAGCAATGATAACTTTATTACAGGTGAATATGCTTAAAGTAAATACATAATGGAGGTGTCATGCCTAATTATCTGTCCACATGCATCTTGAGCAGGAATTGTCTGAAAAATTTACTTCTGGCTTGTATCAGTCCTTTATAACGTTTTTTATCAAATTAAATTTGATATAATTGTCAGGAATGGCTAAAAATGCAAAATGAGTAAGATGAAACAAAATTAAAATTTCAGTATGACCTATAATATAGTGCGTTCACTTATAAAGTTGAATACAACCGTCACTTCCCAGCTTCTAGCTCAAACTGATGACTCACTGTTAAGCACTACAAGGTTTCCCAAAACAACTAAAGTATTGCTCCATAGAAACAAGAAAATGCACTTTCTGAAATTATGGCATTTCCTGCCAGGAAGTGATAGCTGCAGTCAAATTAATCACTGAATGCACTGTAAATAAATTTTCATGTTGTATTTTCAGTAGCATACAAGCAAAATAATTAATGCCTGTACATACCAATTATTAACTTGTGGGAAACTGTTAACTGAATAATTTATACAAATGTATAGGCACACAGGGCATAAATGACTGGATTTGCATAGTTTTTTTTACCAAAATGTCCAACATGACTTGCATATAAATGATTGAATCAACTGTAGTTACTTATTTATGACTGTTAACATACTCAATAAGTGAAACAAAAAAATATCACTTCACGTAAACTTTAAAGGAGGATAAAAGGTAGGCAAGTCATGTCGCACACTTGGAGATAGAGAATTGTACATAGAATTTTATGCAAAAGGATGATGCCACCTAGGAGATTTGGTCATTGCTGAGAGGATAATCTCAAAGATTATTTTATAGAAATTGGCTCTGAAAGTGTGGATTGGATTTAACTGGCTCATGAATTGTCTAGTAGCAGGTTCTTATGAACATGGTGACAGACCTTCACATTCCATAAAAGGTGGATAATTTTTTTGACTGGCTGAGTGGCTGCTGCATGTGGTGTGTTAATTTCTTAGTGGCCTTGTGCCACCGCAGGCTCAATGGTTACACTGCCATGATCGAGTCACCATAATTTAATTTGTGAAAATGGGGTGTAGCATGTGAAGTTGAGGGTAACATTGACATATATAAACAGCACATATAAACCCAGTTACTTGGTTAAATGAAACATTACTGTCTTTCATTTTGTGATAAAAATGTGTAACTGTGTTTAAGGTGATGTTCTGGGAGAACCTAGTCAAGATTCAGACTGTGATAATGGCATGCCAAGTGTAAGAGGATCAACATATATGCAAAATGAAGGAGTAAAGAAGACAGGCGGCTATGTCAACATATTAGTTCCAAAAATTGAATCTACTGGCATATCATCAGATTCTGCACCTGTCCACAGTTCAACAGTGCCTGCCACAGGCAAGAAACAAATGCGAGTGTACCAGTGCCCTGAGTGTCCGAAAACTTTTGTTAAGAACAGCAACTTCAAACAACACTTAGGTCAGTAATGGCAGTATGGTGGCCAAAGCTTTCATCCATAACTCACAGTTTCTCATTGTTTTAGTCATAATTCTCATTCTTTGCATTTTCTGTGTGATGCTTCTGAAAAGTGTCATGTCCACTGCTTGTGTTTTACATCCATATTTCTGTTTGTATATCTACTGTTTCAGTACCATACATTGCTTTAATATATGAGTCTTACATATTGTAATTTACATTGCATTCCATAATATTTCCTTCACAATGTGATAACATTTTGATCTTGGTTTCTTCAAGTATTCTGCTGCAGAACATGTGTGTTGTTAAGTTCATTCCCTATATATGTGCCATGACAAATTTAGTACTTCATATATGTTTGCGGAGGTAATTACTGGTTTAAAATAAAAAGTAATAATTTTATGTATTGTCTATTGAATGAGTTTTGAAAAAAAAAGTTTACTGTGTACTGTTTTACAGTTTTCATTGAAGCAGTTACAGTTACAATTGCATTGTGCCATTTAACAATCTGTACTCAATAGTAAGTTGGGTGGTTGGTACTGGTAAAAGCAGGATGTGGGGGCAGCATGGGGGAAAGGTGTGCATGTACCACATAGCACATTTAGATAGTAGGTGAAAGCTGCTGGCTATCATCTCAGTAATCGTAGATTCTGAATAAACAGCACAACATTAATTTCTCACAGTGGCTACCATCTTCTCATAGGCATATTGTGCTCATTAAGAACCATTCTAATCTGCCATACTTATTTCTGTAGAGCTGGAACACCCTTCATACGAGGTGCGATCAGAAAGTTTCCAGACTGTGCCTATAAAAACCCATACACTTATCTCAGGTATTAAATTCATCCATCACCCTCGAAGTAGTTCCCCTGGGAGTGAACACAACGATCCCAGCGCCGCTGCCAAGCCTGGAAGCATCCCTGGAAATCTTTCTTTGTCAGCCTGCCAAGCACCATCTGCGATTCTGCCTGAATCTCTTCTATCGTCTCAAATCTCATTCCCTTTAG